GTGAGCATCATAGAATGCCAATTTAATAGAAGAAAGTATTCCTGCATTGAGGGAGTACTTGAGTGGAGGCCCAATGTCCTTCTGCTACTTTAATACTAACCCAGATGAGGATTCTGAAGGACAACAGAGGTTCCACAAAATCTGGAAGAATGGAATACTGCAGAACCCTCAGAAGCCCTAAGCATTGGAGTCTGGGTATGACTTATTCAGAAACCTGCCTTGGAGGTCCCAGGAAGGCAATGGCTTTGGTCTAAAAGGCCTGGTCCCCATTGCTCCAACACATGAATGCAACATACCTGCATGAAGCCGGGAACCAATAGATAGGTCTGCAGGGTGGGTCCCAATACCAACTATGTGGACACCCCACTCCCTCCCCCAAGAAGAACTCACTTTAGAGGACAGCAGTGAAGCTACAGCTCAGGGAGAAGGGCATGTCTGATCAGAGCACACAGGAGCAAACAAAGAGGGAAAGAGAGAGAGTGGAACACATCCTGGCCAACCAAGCCCAGTGGACCATATTTCTGCTCAGAGCAAGCCAATGCACAGACAGCGCCATAGGGCCAGTCCCACCAAGAGACACAACTTTCCTTACTGACCCATAGTGCTACGAGGGACAACACTACAGGCTAAGTATGGGAATTGAAACTTATCTGACCACACCACTACGGGGCAAAAGGCTAAGGACGTGTAACAGACCAGCAAGGGGAGCAAAGCAATGAAGTCCCCAGGAATGTCAACAATAGAATTCTCTGCTCATAAGGAAGGGAAACAGGTGTGACATGGATGGAATGGGGTATCTGTGGATCTTGTGAGTACTTTTTGTGTCCCTGCTTAGTACAAGGGCAATATTCAGCCCATAGCAGGAGGAGTACCACTGGATGTGGGCAGGGGTTAGACATGGCTCCAAGAAGTACTCACAAGGTCCGAGGGAGAACGATGAATCTTTCTATTCCTGTAAGGAGTTACAGTCTCAGAAACCCTCAAGGGAAGGTCTCCTGCCCTATAGGGTGACAATGAGTCAGAGTCGGTTAGATGGCAGTGCGTTTATTTGGGTTTGATTGAGTAGAGACAAGCGACTGAGTCTGTAATGGTGGTAATCAAGGAGAGGACATTGAGTTGTGAGGTGGTGACTCCTCTTCCTACTAATCAGTGGAGACCAGAAAGCCCCACTCCCTTTTTACCCCTGGGGCATGTGGGCATGCTGCCCTAGAGACTGCACTCGCTTCACGAGAGGTCACCTCAAGGAGCAGAGGGACCTGGTCACAGGGGACTGTCTGATGAGGACCCTAATAGGGGATCCAGGCTGCCAAGGAACCCAGGGCAGAAAGGCCTGTCTGTGTTGCAGCCAGAAAGACACCCTGTCAGTAGTGGGGTCTGATGTGTTCATGTATTTTCCCTGTGAGTCTCAGAGAACACTGAGGTGTCAGTTTCAGAGTAGTAAAATGGAGAGACCAAGGCCCTGCCAGCAGTGGAGTCAATGTCCATAAAAGTGTCCTGTGAGGAGGTCCCTCCTCCACAGCCAAGCACAGGAAGTCCCTTCAGCCAGCCTGCTGTCATCCCACTAAAACACGCTCAGGCCAGGCAGTGTGCATCCTCACCTTGACTCAGATATCCTTGTCTGGTTCCTGAGCAGGTGACCTGAGCACAGTGGGTTCCCAGAGCAAGGCTCTCAAAGTACTCTGTGTTAGCAGTAGGGTGGTTGTGAAAGTCAGGGAGGCATCTCCTTGCTGAAGGACTCACGCCCACCTTCTAACTTCCCCTTCTTTAGTGGAGTCATGTCATATTTATCCTGGCCTGCTGCCCTAATGAGAGTCATCATGCCTCATTGTCAGAAGACCAGCATCTGCTCTGGTGAGAAATGCCACCAAGCCCAGGACTCAGGTGATGCCAAGAGCATGGAGTTGGCCCAGACCACTGCTGCAGAGGAGGGAAAGCCCTACTCCTCACCAGCTGCTGCTTCTGGGGATTCTCACCAGGCTTCCTCCTGTGCTCCTAATCCATGTGAGGTGGCTCCCTACACCTGCAAGGCTGCTATAGATGCTTCATGTACTACAATTGTTAAGGCTCCCAGAGCCAACATGTGGGCAGACGAAATGCCCCTAAGTCCACACCTTCTGCTGAGAAGTTCCAAAGTTCCCTGACCAGAAGGGTGAGCCTGTTGTTGCAGTTCCTGCTGTTAAAGTACAAAATGGAAGATCCCATTACCAAGGCCGAAATGATGAAGATCATCACTAAAAGGTACAAGAAGCAATTCTCCGAGGTGCTGAGGAGAGCCTCTGAGCACATGGAGCTGGTCTGTGGCCTTGAGCTGAAGGCAGTCGAATCCAATAGTCAAACCTATGCTCTGGTCAATCAGTTGGAGATCACCAAGGAAGAGATTCTGAATGGCGAATGTGGCTTTCCCAAGACTGGGCTCATCATGCCTCTCCTGGGCGTACTTTACATCAAAGACAACAGGGTCACCTGGGAGGAGATGTGGGAATTCCTGAATGAGTTAGGGATCTACGATGGCCCTCAGCACTTCATCTTTGGGGACACTAGAAAGCTTCTCACTGAAGATTTGGTGCAGGAAAAGTACCTGGAGTACCAGAAGGTGCCTAAGTCTGATCCTCCATGCTACAAATTCCTGTGGGGCTCCAGAGCCCACAATAAGGCTTGCAAGAAGAATGAGATGGAGGATTTTGAGAAGATCAAGTTTATGGACATCACTGCCTTCCAAGACCTGTATGGTGAAACCTGGGGAGAAGAGCAAGAAAACACAGAACCTGCATTATCTTGGATGGTTGAGGCCAGTCCAAATGCCAAGGCCAAGAGTCATGTGAAGGGGAGGTTCATCAGATCCCCCCACTTCTCATGAAGGCTGAGGCAGATGCCTTACTTTGTTGTTGGAAATGGTTGTTAACCTTCTATGTGGTGGAGGCCAAGTGGGGGTCGGAGGGAGTGCAGGCATTCCTTCCTCTGTATCTCTCCTCCATGGATAACTTGTCCATTTAGTTCTTTTTGCTCCACTATGTAGTTTTTCCTTGTATTGCAGGTGTAGTGAGATGGAGACTCTCAATGCATCCTCATACATTTATTACTGCTTTTCTGATGCAAATCAAATTTCTGTAAACCAAATGGAAAATCCCCAAATATCCCTCTCTCTCTAACCCCCCCTCCCCCCACTTTCTATCTCTCTCTTTTTCTGATGTGTTTGAGATTCAGAATTAGATAATATGACATCAAAATATAGATGTCTTAGAAATGTTAAAGAAGTTCATGATAAATATTTAGAAACTCAAGATAAGGGGGGGAAATATTAAATGTACTCAATCCTTGGTTTCTGTAATTTCTATTGATCAGAGTGAAGTTTACATAGATTCAGATTTGCAAAGCTTGTTTAAGAAAGTGTTAGAAAATAAATGGTGATAACTGGTACCTCTTGGTCACAGACTCTTCTTCTACCCCAATAGTAACTGAGCCTCTGGTATTTGGAGGCATTCACGCAAATATGAGGAAATTTTAGGCAAAGATGTAGATGTGCCTGCTCATAGATGTTGTAGTCTGAGTGTAACTATGAAGTAAAAAACAGGTTGAGATAATCTACCAGACCTGCCACCTGCAGGATTGCCAATTCTGACACCATGGGACAAGCATTGGGATGTATACTTCAAGATCAGTAGTTGAAACCCACAAGCTGCTCTGTGGGATAAAGAGGAAGGTTTCTGCGCTCTTAAGGATTGATCGCCTTGACAATCCTAAGGAACAGTTTTGCCTTTGTCTTGCAGGGTTGTTATTTTTCCATGGCATGAGGGACTAGAGAAAAAAGAAGCAGTGACTGCAGGATTTCCTCTAGTGTAAGTGCCCCGAGTCAAGGCCGTTTCTACCTTGGGGCACTGATACTTCTCAACTGTAAGGAATGTTCAATTGGGCCACCTGAGTAAGGTAAAGGGGAGGCAGTTAGGGAAGTGGTGGTGAAGTGGTGGATGGAGACCATGTGAGTGTAAGGAGTGAAGTTTACATAGATTCAGATTTGCAAAGCTTGTTTAACATCATATCCAGGATATTTCTCAAAAATAGGTGAATGCTCTCTGGAGGTCAGATATCAAGGAGGCAGCATTTTCCCTTCTCTGTCAAAACTGGAGCCCACTGTGCTGAAAGGACAGTAGCAGTAGGTTATTTCTTTCAAAAGCTTCTGGATAGGTAGGGGCCAGTAACCTTTTGGTTCATAGGATAGGGTTTAACAGATCGTACCTTCTTTGACCTCATTAAATTAAAAATATATCCTAAAAGGAGGAGAGACTAAAAAATATCATATTCAGTTGCTTTTGTGTGGAGAATAGTAAGTGCTTTAGAATGGAAATTACATACAATGACATCTAAATCTGGATGGTTAAGAGAAGACCTAGATCTTTGACAACCCACCTCCTGGCCTCCTGCTTGGTCCTCTCTCCTCACTTTCTGAGGGAGACCCAGATGCTACATCATGGGCAGGGGGCACAAATGTTGTGCAGGAGATGGAACTTTCATGAGAGTCTAAAATTAGACAAATGTGACCGCATACAAGGACATCCCATGTAGGAGGCTCCTGGGGACTGACATTTCAGAATATATGGGGTCAAGGACAGCCACGCTTCTGTGTGCTCTTGGGCACGAAGTGCTCCATGCAGGGCTGCCAGGATGAGAACATGGTCACTGTCCCGTCAGGACTTCCTGGACATGCAACTATGAATTTAAAGGGTTGGATTAGACTCCCAATTGGAGGCCAGGGGCTGACAGTAATTCTGAGCAAGGATTAAAGGTACACCGCAGTGCTTTACAGAGGGTCTAACACACTCCGAATCTTCAGGTCATCTGTGGGAGTGTCCAGACGTGGGTAATAGCAGGATTCATTCTCAACTTCCTCCTCAGTAGCAAGATGCAAGTGAGAAATTGGTCTGAGGTTGGGGCATATGAGCCAGTGGAATGAAAGCTCTTAGATTTGGCCAAGAATCCAGAATGGAGCTCTGAGTGAATTGTATGATGACTACTGACTCTAGAACAATGGGACAATGTGGGCTCCACTGCTGGTGTGAGCTCATGGAGACACAGTTAAGGGCCTTGGTCTGAGGGGTGGAGTGTGATGTCCACAAAAGGAGCAGTCATAGGGATGTCCTCGATTCAGCACAACTGCTGAGTTAGGTCTCAGGGAAACTTTCTGCATCATAATTGAAGGGATAAGCAGGGCTCCACCCCATTGCCATCCCTGGGATACCATCCATTGCTACATTGAATCCTACTCACTGCCTCTTATGTTGTCTTAGGCCAGTAGTTCTCAACCTTCCTAATGCCATGACCCTTTAATACAGTTCCTCATGTTGTGGTGACCCCCCAACCATAAAATTATTTTCGTTGCTACTTCATAACTCATTTTGCTACTGTTATGAATTGGGCGACCCCTGTGAAAGGGCCATTCAACCCACAAAGGGGATGAGACCCACAGTTTGAGAACCACTGTCTTAGACTATTGTAGGACTGGTGACAGGGGTGTTCCCAAGTCAGGATTAGAACTGATTCCAGTACTATTGGGGGGCCTAGGAGGACCACCCACCTGATGACAGTGGGAAAAGCCTAGACTCCCTGCCCTACTCTCATGCAGCCTTGGAGAACAGAGAGAAGTGAGATCTAACGATTCAACCAGGACTGCTCCTTGGAGGCACGAAGACGTGCTGGTCTCAGGATGAAGCCTCAGGACAAGGGAGGGCATATCTCAGGTCACCCGCAATTCAGGCAATGACTGAGGAGACCATCCACCTTTAAATAGAAGGCCTCTGACTGTCTTTCCTTCTTTTAGGTCTTCAAAGTCCAGGTCAGGGCCATGAGGCTGTGGTGCTTCTCCCTCACTTCTTGATATCAGAAAGTGAGGGATTTGGTCTATCAGGCAACCAAGGGGCAGGCTCTGAGTTTCTCTACAGAGGAGAGAGGAAAATTCTGAATAACAGCTGAAGAGCCTGTGAGTGAATCTCAGAGAGATATCATTACTGGGTGTTTTGGTTCAGTATGGTAAGCTGAAGTTCTCCGTTTGGGGGGGTCTAAGGGGGGTACCTACCATAATTTGAGGTGTCATTTGCAGGGCAGCAGAAGTGAAGGGGGCAGTAAGAGCCCACTTCATCCCACTTCACAGACTACTCTAAACATGGCCTGGCCCAACCCTCTGAAGAATGGAGACTTCCCCTGTATGAGACCCTGCTCTCAGCCCCAGTAAACCTCAGGCAGAGCTGGCAGGCAGTAACCTATTAAACTCTCTAGCTTGCTCCACAGAATTCTCAAAGACAGGTTCCCAGGAGCAAAGAAGGCTTGGCGATCCTAGGTCAATGTCCTCGTGGGAGACTGCAGACTGGCTTCTATTAAGACAGCGGTTCTCAACCTGTGGTTGCGGACCCCTTTGGGTGTCGAAAAAACCTTTCACAGGGGCCGCTCAATTCATAACAGTAGCTAAATTAAAGTTATGAAGTAGTAACAGAAATAATGTTGTGTTTTGGAGGTCAGCACAACACGAGGAGCTGCATTAAAGGGTGGTGACATTACGAAGGTTGAGAAACACTGACTAAAGCCAAGGAGGCATCTTCATGATGAGGGGTGCCCATCTTCTCAGCATCCCACAGCCACCGAGCTCACATCACCTTCCATACTGCCTAGGTCGCTGACTGCTTCCCTTGACCAGTAGAACCATGCCTCAAAAACATAAGAATAAACCCCAGAAGGATGAGAAACACCAGCAGGTTCAATGGGAGGCCCATGATCAGGGAGGTGCTCATGCCAAGGCAGCAGTGTGTGAAGAGCCCAGTTCCTCCTCCTTCTCGCCTCATGCTGTACAAGTTTAAAATGAAGCAGCACATCACCAAGGTAGACATGATGAAGATTATCAGCCCCACATTCAAAGACTGGTTGCACCAGATTCTCAAGCAGGCAGCTGAGCATTTTGAGGTGGGGTTTGCAGTTGAAGTGAAGGAATCTGACTCCACATTTGAATCTAAGCTTCTTGTCAGCAAACTGGCCCTGCCCAATATTGAAAGTGTCCATCCTGGCAGGGGCTTGCCTAAGAAAGGGCTATTGATGACTGTGCTGGGGGTGATCTTAATGAAGGGCCACAAGGCCACTGCGCAGGAGATCTGGGAATTCCTCAGGATGGTGCGTGTATTTCCCGGGAAGAAGCATGATATCTATGGAGAACCCAAGAGGCTCCTTACCAAAGACCTGGTGAAGGGGAAGGACTTGGAGTACTGGCAGTGCGTTAGTCACCTAATCTGGTGTCAATTTAAGAATTAAGAGTGTAGTAGTGGAGTCTAGGTTGTCGATGGAGATAGCCAATGAGACTTCTGTGTGGGCATGGTCTTCTCCTGAGAATGCTGGGAAAACTGGTACTTCCTCCTTGGAGGCCAAATGCACCTCTCTCTCTCTGCCCCTCCCTGGCAGACACTGTAGAAGACAAGCCACAAGGATGCAACCAGAACTCTGAAGCTGGAGAAGGCACAGAGAGACCCGTGCATGTGCTGAGATGCTTACAGCGCCACTGGACCCAAAGACTTTCTACCCACTGGCTTGTGAATGTCCTGCATTTGGCTTCATTGCATGTGTTTCATGAGTCTGAAGAGGACTTTATAGATTGGTATCGGACATATGGGCTAATATCACTTATGGCCTTGGACTGGACTGGGTTGGGATGCTTTCTCAATGTTCAATCACTGTTGTATACAAATCTTTTTCTTATACACATAGGTGTGTCAATGGATTTGTTTCTCTAGTCTACCCAGAGTAACACAGCCTGGTACCCAATAGTGACCCACCCTGCTATGAATTCCTGTGGGGCCCCAAAGCTCATGCTGAAACCTCCAGGGC